ACTGCCAAAAAGAAAACCCCTGATAGATGGTATTGAGTTTGTGAGATTATAACCAGTTTTCTACTAATTATTAGAATTTTCTATCTATCAGTATTGGGGAACTTTTATACAGTATAATATCTCCAAACGAGAAAATGAAAACTATATAAAGAAAATATTTGTCATGCACTGCTATATAGTATAGTTTTGGTGCGTCATAAGAACTAGTTCTTCAAGTTCAGCTTAAAACCATTAGGCAAAAACAGTTGTCCAATGTTTCTCTCATAAGTAAAAAGGTTGGGTACATGATAACAGTGGGGGGGAAAGGGTGACTGGGAAGAAGCTGTTGCTTAAATCTACTTTGTGTGTTAATATCCTGCTCTTGGGGTAGCCGTTTAAATAGAGGTAGGAAAATGGGGCCCCGTGGTAGGAAGACCCGAAGTCACCAGTAAGGCTAGGGCAAGGACTGAGCCACTGTCCCACCTGTCTGGTGCTCCTCAGCTGTTTGGCAGGTGGGGTTTAGTTTTCCTCAGGGTAGCATTGGGGCTCCTTGGCTGGAAAGCTATCTTCACTTAATGTCCCGGATTTTCCAAGTGGATTAAGGCCCAGATTTGTCAGCCTGGGAGTGTTTTAACCAGCCCCCAGCCACTGCCGAAGGGTGGTATGAAGAGCTGACTGTGTGGTCTTTTCCTAATTGCTCTGGTGCCCTGGTTATTGGGCTTCTCTTTCCCTGGGGCCCTGATGCCACTTGACTCAGAGGGCAGAATTTGCCCATCTACAGAGAACCTGGCCCAGAGCAGCCCTGTTGTCTCAAGGCCCCGTCCCCTGTGACATTTCCGTAACCCATCCAGAATGGATTACCACTTCACCTGGAAGTAGAAGCTCAATGGAGTGCCTCTTAGGAGAGTTTGAATTTATTTCCATTTTCAAAAATAAATCCTAGCAGACTAAATTTTCAGGAGCCAGCACCAAGGCCCTTCCTCAGGCCCAGTTCACTAGAGCCAGACAGGGCTGTTTCATGGCCACTTGGGAGCGGAGCAGGGTTCTTGGCCCCTTGGCTCTGGCTGCCTTGAGAGCATGGCAAGGGGTGCCCAGTCCCTGGAGCTTCGGTTTTCTAGCTTGATTTCTGCCTCAGTTCTGCGAGCATTCTAGTTAAGTTCTAACCCATCTTTTTGCCAGTTCTTCCCTAGAGATGCTCAAGGAAGAGCAAAGGCTTGAGATTAGGATTCGGGTCAGCCTGCCCAGCTCCGCTGTTCCTGCCCTAGGTCAAGGTTGCAAACTCCATCAGGGCCAAGATAACATCAATGCAAGGGACAGAGGGGACCCTGCGGGCACTGGCCCTTCCCTTCACCTTCAAAGCCGTGAGCTCACTAAGCCGTCGCTTTGTTTTCAGTTAGGCTGAGTGCGAGGGGAGGCATGGAAGGGAAACAGGGAAGGGAAAAAAATCCCTGCCCTCCTCAGAGAAGGGGAGATTTCTAATTTACCTATGGGGCTGCTTAATTCAGAAAGGTGGCTTAGGGGTGGGTGAGGAAGGTGGTGAAACTCCCTTTCTCAGGCCTCGAAGGCAGCTTCTCAGGGGCTTTCCTGAGGGAGGAAAGGGAGATGCGCGGCCGATGGCAC